ACGAACTCCGACCTTCATTCGTCCGCTGCATCAGCCTCCATCGCTGTATACAGCTGCGTCAACGTGTCCTCAGCCATGTCTTCGTCCCACTGATCCTCCGTTAGATCTTCTTCGCCATCTGGCGCACCGGTCACGAATGCCGAACCACTGCATCCTTTGCCGGAGTACTTGGGTCGGCCGCGAGTTACTACATTCCGGAACTAATCACGAAAGCATTTCCCAAAGACCTGGTTGTTGCCTTTATTCTCATAGAACAGTGTTCCCTTGATGGTGACTGGCCCGGAACGACTACCGCTACCGGGTCCCTGGTTCGACGACTGCTTGAGAGCCTTGCGGTCTTTGGATATGTGTCCCATATTCTCACAGTTGTGGTACTTCATATCGCCACCGCGAGCTGCGAATGCACTCTCTTCATCTCCCTCATGCGTGGTATGCACTTCACGATTGTCATTTCTGGGGTCGACGATCGTCAGACCGGTATGTGTGGTCTGGGAATTTGGTTGCAGAATCTCCGATTTTCCGGGCGTCGTTGTTGTGGATTCACCAACCTGCAGTTGGTAGTAGGGTAAAGGTTTTCCTTGTAGAGTGACATTGACGCTCGGCCTGGTGTAGATATGATTCTCAACCTCGAATCGAGATATGTTGCCTGCGAGCACAATCAACTTCTCGATGAGTTCCGGGTTTGTCAGGATTGAGATACGTGTGAGGAGTTGTGCCCATGCTCGAGGCATGTACATTTTCATGATTTCGTGCAGCATATCACGAACATGGGGGGATTCCTATGAATGCACTGGCAGAGCATAGAATGCTGATCAAATCCGCCAGGCGAAGTTAATATAGCTTTCTTCCTTGTACGGAGCCATCCTAGCAAATGTTACCACTGGACGTCTGAGCGTACCGTGTCGTTCCATGCACTCAAGGATTGCCCCGAGAGCTTGTGTCCAACTTGCGTGGTTGGTTTCGATGTATCGTGACACAGCCAGGAAATTTCCATCTAGCAATGGGGACAGCTTGGATGCCCAGAGCTGGCAAGGGACTGCCGCTTGCACCAGGGAACGTTGTATCTCCCTCAGTTTCAGGATGATTTTTATGTCGGTTGCCAGGTGCATCTCCCATGATCGGTCCAATACCACTCCAATCCTAGACGCATCCTCCGGAATTCTGTCGTACAAAATACCCAAGGCAATGATTTGCTTTCGAAGTTTGACCTCGGGCCAGATCTCTTGTACGTATTTCTCGCCGAGGTTATGTGGACGAGGAGCTTCTTCCTGGGGAACGTGGTGTATATTGATCTTTCCGTTCGGGAGTCTTGCCTTAGCCTTTATTTCTTGCTGCATCGGGGTTTCTTGAGCTTGCAGAGACGGAGGCTCGTAGTCGTACTCAGGTTCATTATTTTTCCTGGGAGTACGGTTATTGGAAAGTTGATCCAGAGCCTGCTTGATCGATGCAAGGCTGCTGCCGAGTGATTCAAAATTGCTGTCGATATTGTCGAGTCTCGTATCTATGACGGAAAACGAGTTGGTGATGAATAAATCGATTTAATAAACTATATAAGGAGAAAAGCTTACTCTAGCTACTACTAACAGGTATTTATAGGAGTTAATCCTCCTCGTGAATCAATAGACTAGTGACTTGTCCTTAGGCACAATACTTCTTACCCAGCCACGTATTTCCAGGTGTCACTTAGTTGTAATAACGCTTCAGCCTCCTGACTAGTAGTGCCCTTTCGTTCAACTTCATCTCCCCCCCATACAGCCTCTTCGTAAGAATTCTTAGTATCAGGCTTAAGTATCCACCTAAGCTCAAACAACGGTCAAACCATAACAGTATCGATATCTTTGAACCTCTTTTCTACAGTGCCCGACATAGTAATTTTTGACGATGATGATGATGCCGATGAACCGGTCTCGCCTTCCTTAGCCATTAGATCGGATGAGCGAGATCTTATTGGGTGATGAAAGATTTGTAGGAGGATAGAGATGGGATAAATTTTCTCGGTCGTGACTGGAGGTAGAATTCAAAATTACGAGTTTGAATGAATAGGGCTTTCCTAACAAAAATGATTATTTTTGTGGCTCCTGGTCTGATGTGCTCTAGCACAAGAGGGACGTCATAACATCCGCAACTATGCTGGTGAAGGTATTCAGACTACTAGAGGGTATATTGTTCTATGCAGTTGTACATCACAAAAGATATGTGGTGTGTGCCCTAGCGTGGCACGTGAGATCTATGTAACCTCATGGAACCTCAGGTATGCAGAGCATACTGAGCGATTGCACCGGCACCACTGTAAGGTGAAGAATTCGTCTTTGCCGGCTAACCGAGGACGCTAATGTACAATAAACAGGAAACCCTACCGTCTCCACCGGTCCAGCACTCATAGTGGACATAGAGCATTAGCTTAGGGCCAATTGAATTAAATAAACATGACCGGTGCTATGTATACATGTGGGATGACTCTATTGACGTTAGAATCACTTATATTCTGGATTTCACTTGCACATACTACTATCAGGTATGTTTGCTTACACAAACAGTCGACCCTCCTCAGTAAGTACTCGTCGAAGTGAGGTTTTAAAATCATTAATTATCCAGGCATGCCTTTGTCATCCATGAATACAAGCACCACCAAAAATGTATTTTAGGTTTACCGGATTTGAACTTGCGATTTACTGTCTTGAGTGGGATATGTGTCATAGCTATCCAGAACTTAGGGCTGGATGGTGCAGTGGTAATTTATCCGGGCCGTTCTCCCAAGTAGATACTGGGTAGCTTGAACGCCTACCCCATTTGAGACAAGAGAAAGCTGGTTCGAATCCAGTAAGACCCACACACCACTCTCTCTCGCGGTGATATTTTACTTGTGGGATGATGAAAGCACACCCGGATAGCCACAGGTTTTTCACGCTTTTACCTATGGTGGGTGTGCACGGAAGAGGTTATACGCCGTAGGGGTTAACCTCGAGTGGTATCTGCAAATGAAATCTGAGTGTGAGTGTTCTAAATGTCAAATTGAGTCATCCTACTTAAGTACGTATCTCCCGATAAAACCTGCACGAGCCTCAAGGCGCCAAATCAGGAAAAATGAATAATGTGTATATATATATATATATATATCCAGACCTTACTTGGGAGACCGGGCGAGACGATGTACCACCGCACCATCTAATCATGGTAATGTTTATAGTGTCGCCCGCACCTTCGCAACCGAAGTCTTGGCACGCCCAAGGCTCAATTTGTAAAACTCCTTGCCAGATTTCAAAATTACACGCCCGTCAATACTGTACCCATCCTCTGCATCATCTTGTAAGCTTGTAAGTTTGGCCTGATATCTCTAACGCCTATTCTAAAGAGCTATCTTCTACTCTTGTTTCCTCTGGCGGGTAATGTTATGCTCAGCTATGTAGTATGGTAGATGTAGTAGCTGGTGCATAGGTTGTTATTATGGCAGCATGGGATAATAGCGCATGGAGGAGATCCAGTCTCTACATAACGACATTACAAGTAGTAATGTGTGCAATATCAGAGATGGGTTGTTGATGTGGGACAAATGACATGGCTGCTCACTTGGTTGCACACTTTGGTAAGCTGCACACTGGTAACGTGATCGGTCTACAAGCGAACAAGCTAGGGAACAAGGCACGAGCTTCCCCATTCCCACACACAACTCCATCTTCAAAACTTCCATCATCAGAGCAAATTAAACTTGTAAATTCAAGCCTGTTCTCTAAGCAGAGGATATGGCTCCTCCGGCTCGCGGCAGAAAGCGCGAGGTGTCCGAGGCACTGGATGCAAAGCATCGCATTCAGAAACACGCAAGCAACTCTTGAAGGGAGCAGTTAAGTGATGGCATTGCCACCCGCTCAAATTCGAAGCTGAATGCAGCAATCTCTGGATTCGCTGTTTCCCGAGGACTTCAGGCATTAGTGCCCCAAAATGCTCCTCCCGACACTCACCAGGTCTTGAGCCTTAGGGACAAGGACACGATCGAAGAAGATCAGTTGACAGATAATACATTTCCTGAAAGTACAATCCCCACGCAGCAAATAGATGCTGACAAAGAGGAAACCAGCGTGACCCCATTGGACACAGAAAACAGCGAGCCCGCAGGGAGCTACCGTACTTCCCTCATGTCAAAAGCCAGAGGTTTACTTAATCTAGTTGGACCGTACCTTGAAGATATTGAAAAGGAATGCCCGGGAGCAGGTGCAAACTTCTTAGCCCCTATCTCAGAGGGGGTATCACGAGCCATCAGAGGACAGAAGATTTACAAGAGCTCAATGAACGAGCAAGAGCAAAAGCCCTCCACTCAAAGTGACAACAAGATGATATGGGCCTCCAAAGCGGCTGCAGGGGTCTCGACCGGAACAAACATTGATGTACGTCGGCCCATGACATTCCGACGCCTCCTCAGAATCAGAGCAAAGAAGACAAAAGGGTCATGATTCGGCTAGATCGAGAACACGAAGCTCGAAAAGTAGACCCGTTTTTACTCCGCCAACAAGTCCAAAGGCTGATCCCCGACCCATCACTTGTTGTTGACGCATGGCAGGTTCCGTCCGGCGTGGCAGTACTTGCCGCATCGCCGGCAAAAGCAGCTAGTATTTTACAGCATAGTGAAGCCATTGCTGCAAGACTTGGTAATGCTACGGTGGAAAGACAAGAGACTTGGACGACATTTGTTGTCGGCCCTATTCCAAAGAAAGTTAACACATTAGACGGAGCCTATGACCCACTTGAAGGGCTTTTAATAGAGGATCCGGCGATTCGAGCTATAAAAGATGACACTCCAATTCGACACATAGCCTGGACACGTCGGTCTACAGACTCTCTGAGCCCGTTTGGGCACATCAGAATTCATGTTCCTGAGGCGAGGGCACACAAAGTGCCATCCCAGATGCAGCTTTTCGGACAAGCAGCTATAGCTCACCTGCAATAAATGTTTTGGCTTCCAAGCCACGAGAACCTGCGCCCGACAATTTAAATACGCCTCTTGTGGAATGAATTCTCACGAAGGTCCATGTTCACGACAAATACAGTGCCTAAATTGCCGTGGGTCTCACGAATCTACTGATACCTCATTCCCGTCTCGCCCACGCAGAGATCATGGTGTATTCGTTCGCCCAACAGGGGCACAGTTGCGACATATACGCGCCGCTGGACGCAGAGATCTTGCCAATACTTTGAGACATGCTCAGGAATCGGCCGAGAGCGGTGCCGAGACCCTCACTGAACTCAACCCTACCCATTAAATATGGTCAGGAGACAGAAAAATCTAAAAATCAGACCAATCCGAATCATGCTAGTTAATGATGGAAGAGGAGCTTATGCGTACAATATGGCTCTCCAGCTCGCACACGGAAATAATATTGACGCTCTACTCATACAAGAATCTTGGACATTAAAAGATCTAACGGCGAAAAGGTCAATTTCACTACCAAAATTTGCGCTTTTCTCACCACTAGACGAATGGCATACTCGCCCCAGAGCTCTAACCTACATTAGCAGTTCACAAGGACTGCGCTCATACCAAAGTGCAATTAATACTTCTCCAGACCTACTGCAGGTGGTTATCTCCACCGGGCGTGGTCGGAAAATAGCTGTATGGAATGTGTACAACGCTCCAGCTGGGTCAATCAGAGTGGGAGAAGATCTTAAAAGGTTAATCGAATCGACTGGTACTCCTGAATTTGTCGGTGGAGATTTTAATTTGCGACACTCAACCTGGGACTCGCATGCCACGTACACTTCTCAGGGGGCGCAGACTTACTAGAATGGGCAAGAGAGAAAGAACTTATTCTCTTAAACCCAACGGAAATATCGACACACAGGGGCGGCGGAAAGTTAGATCTAGCTTTCTCCTCCCTAGCCGGAGCTAAATGTGAAATCCCTTCTGACCTTCACACCACATCCGACCACGAAACAATGGTGACCACCTTAACTGGTGAATACAATGCGAATGAAAATAGTGAGAGGCGACTACGGTATGACTCAATTAAAGAAGTTTTATTAACAACTCTAATGAGATGCCATAGCGATCCCCCAGATCTTTCGACAGTAGACGACATCGAAAAAGAGGCGGAAAATATTGTTAAAGTGATCCGAACGGCACTCCAGTCTGCCTGCCCTCGCGCCAGAGAGAAGAACCATGGCACCGTCTGGTGGAACAAAGATTGTAAGCTCGCAGCTCGTAGGTACTACGCAGCAAGACGGAAGGGAAAGCATGAATTCGAACGAAAAGAGCTCCGAAATGCCGTCAGACGTGCGAAGAAAGAGTACTGGACTACAAGAATCGAAAAATCGGAGTCTCTCCCAGAAGTATTTAAGATTGTGAATTGGCACAACACTCCGCCCAAGTATGAGACACCACCACTAAAGGGACCAGATGGGGAGCCCAAAATCCAGAACCCGAAAGAAAAAGCAGCACTACTCCATAGAGTGCTTCTTTCCCGACATCTGGAGGCAATAGATATCCCAGAAGAAACCCCCACGGTAGCCTCGAGGCGTATTCCTTGGCAACCATTCTCTGAAGTAGAATCGTTCCGGGCAACCTGTCAGGTATCTTCAACCTCACCAGGGGAGGATGAAATTACGGCTCTTATTATTCGAATCTCATGTCCAAAATTAGGGGAGCGGATAACTAGGCTTTTCAATAAATGCGCAGTACACGGGGTACATCCAAAGATATTCAAGCGCGCACACAATGTTATTTTGCCAAAATCTGGAAAACGGGATCGAACACAACCTAAATCATACCGAACTATTGCTCTTCTTTCCTGTCTTGGAAAAGAACTTGAACGGCTCTTCGCACGGCGTCTCTCTTTCTGCTCCTTGAAGTTTGATATCCTAGGTAGGGACCAGTGTAGTGCAATAAGCTGACGGCCAACTACGGATCTAACGACAGCATTGGTATGTGATGTTAATGAAGCACTCCGCAAGAGGAAAATTACAGGTATGGTGACGGTTGATGTGAAAGGGGCCTTCGATGGGGTACTGCGAAACCGACTCCTTTTTCGACTGAGGACTCAGGGATGGCCGGGGAACGTAGTGCAATGGGTAAGCTCCTTCTTTCAAAACCGGTTGGCAAGGATCAGACCCGATCGAGAAGTATCAGACCCTTTTCAGATTCTATGTGGTCTACCACAAGGATCTCCAGTATCGCCCATTCTATTTCTTCTCTATGTAGAACCAGTCATGCGCCTTGCACTCGGATGTTTCGGCTATGCAGATGATATCGCAATGTTCGAAACAGGCCCAAATCTTGAGGAATGCAGTCAGAGACTACAGTTACGACTGACAAGAACTCTACAATGGGGTAGGGACAACGGTATTCAGTTTGAAACAACTAAGACTGAGCTCCAATATTTTCATAATAAGAGAAAATATCAGGAACCTCCCTTAATGATGAAGGACACCTTAGTTCTTCCGAATGATCATACACGCTGGCTTGGGATAGTCTTTGATAGGAAGCTATCATTCAAGGAACAAGTACGGCGAGCCTGCCAACGCTGTCGAGTGGCCACCGACCATGTCAAGAGACTATGTAACACTGTGAAAGGTGCCCAATCTGCTCTTCTGCGGCAAGTCTTCCAAGGTATAGCTTTTGCATCACTTTTCTACGAAGCTGACACGTGGTATGGACCAAAAACCTCTAAGTGGGCAATAGATCAAGTCCAAAGAGCAGTTAATAGAGCAGCTTGAGCTGTATTTCTAGTGTATAAAACTACCCCTGTCCCAGCACTTTTGCGGGAAACTGGATGGGCTCCAGCAACTATCTGGCTAGAAAGAATACACGATCGCTTTGTAACTAGAGTTGCCTCAGCTGACCCTAAGCACCCCTTACGAAGCCGTTGGAATACAAAACATCTCCAATGGATTAGGAGCTGCCAAAAAGTCGAATTGTCGCTGGACACTATCACCCCCCTTGGCTTAGTCTTGATAGGAGTAAAGCAAAGGAAGAGATTGAGACTATCGGCCGAGAAAAAGTTCTGATGGAATATCGAAATTGGGAGCAAAGCCAGAGACACAACTTGTTAGATCTTTTCATATATTCAGATGGGGCAATGAATAAGGAAGAAGAGGCAGGCAGTGCGTATTGCATCTACCGGGGACCAAACTCAGAAATTACAAATGCGAAGATTCCCCTCGGTTGGACGGCAGAAGTATTTGATGCAGAAATTATCTGGGCAGTCGAGGGGCTAAAAGCAGCCATGGAATATTGTATGGCCAAGTACGCTACAAATATTGTGGTATATCTGGATAATGAAGAAGCGGCACTACGATTGCACACTGACTACCTAAGCCCATCCAGCTCGGTCAAGATTGCAGAATTTCAGGAACTGAGGAAAAATTGGAAGAGTAGAGTGCACTCTTCGAGTGAGGTAGAGGGTGCGGTGAAAGTACAATGGGTTCCGGGTCACGCAGGGATCAAAAGAAACGAGCGTGCAGACGTATTAGCTAGGGAGGCCTGCAGCGAAACAACGACACGGACAAAAGCTTCGATATACCGAGCCAAAAGCCTCAGAAAGGAGCGGCACGAGAGTAGCATCATCCAATTTTGGAAGGATCACGCTCCGAGTAGATATAGGAGTCTGAAGATACCTATGGCAGGACAAATGCCTGAGGAATTGCAGATTTTATCTCTGAAAAATCTCGCGTTCCTCCTTGCTGCCTGCTCCGCTCACGGAGATTACGCCACGCATCACAGACGCTTCCAGCACCAAGACGCCAAGCTATTGTGTATCTGTGGAGAAGAAAAGGCTCTGGAACATCCCTTTGCATGCAGGAAACTTGACCAAAGTAAAACTCCGAGACCACGTCCATCTCGGGGTAAGGAGGGGGATATCATGTGCATCCTCGGCACAACAACAGGGGCGAAAGAATTTGGAAAATGGTGCAACACAGCTCATCCATACAAACAACAAGTTGTCACAGTGTAGAAGCAAGATTAGTGGTGACCTTGACAGGATTGCCTTGAAACAACTGCAAAAATTTGTAATTAAATCATAGTAATCTAAAAAAAAAAGGGGGGGGGAGTATCAAGGAGATAGGCATTGAGGAATTTACACGAATAGAGTGGCCTAGAGCTCCACCTTGCATTAATATCGAGCATTAATTGCGAAAAAAGGGAGGATACAGTAATTTATTTAGACGATAGAATTTTCCGATAGTAATAGGCTATGCGGACACGCCAAACACCCATTCTTGGGCATAGAGGCCGGGTCATACCCGTGAGCCTACTTGGCGTTAAATGCAAACAAACAAACAAACAGACGAGCTTCCCCCAATCTGTAACATAACAATTATCATAGTCACTTCACTTCTACACACTAATAAAGATATCTCTCCACGAACTATCTTAGCTGTTCCAGCGCAAGTGTACATTCCCAAATCATATACCAATCATAATAGGTAAATGTAGCGGCACGGGCGTGTTTTTGGTGGCCAGGTTAGGCCAGAGAATAGTCGACGAGAGGTGTGGTCATTGGAATGAGGATGTACTTGTAGACTTGATGAGACTTGGGTTGGCGTCAAACTTGTTGGGAGCGAAAAAACGTCGTGGAGGAGCTTTGAATCATTGCCTCGTGGGCCAACTTCTTTGATATTGCAAAATTTGATTGAACTTGGCTCTGGGAGAATATTTCACTCCCAGGTTCGTAGAGGACACCGCGTACAGGTGTTCAGTCTTGCCCTCCTAAGGTCCCAGCATGCATGAGCTGTCAGCCCTGGCCCCTTGTAGAGTACGGGATTTGCTCTTTCGCAGTAGGTCTCGCATCAGGGTTCCAGGGAATTACGTAGAGGCTGCCAGCCAGGATACTGAGACGAGTAGGTATATTGATGGAACTATCAGTACAAGAAATCAACATGAGCCAAAAAAGCAAGGATTAGTTTCTGCTCGTAATTACAAAATCAGGGTTTTGAGAATGGCTCTAATATCAAGCAACTGTTTCACCAGTCTTATAACTTTCATTCGTGGACATTTATTCCCTTGCAGCTTATCCTGCCCGTCAAGAGGTATTGGTAAAGTGGCAGACTGTTATTATTCCGCATATTCTAGAAATTAATGGGCTAGACGGTGCTGTGATAAATCATGCACACCCACCGCATTCATAGACTCCGGGTACTTCTAGCTTTGACTTGATGAGCCGCGTGTTGGCGCTGCTTTGAGTTAATCATGTCCTGATCCCTATCGCCTGTCTTCTGGGCAGAAATGACAGAGAAAGCAAATCAAGGTAGACTATGAATTTTATGGAGTATTCTTCGGCGCACATAGACATTAAAAATAGGAATTGACTCATTACAAATAAGTCTGGGCGCCAAGATCAGTAGGAGAAAATCACCACCACAACTAACTTCTGATGTCAAAATCTAATTTGTGTCAAACAGTCGAGGTAAGACGCCGGTGCAGACGAACTCTTGACTTTCTAGCGGTGCCGTTATAATCGCTCAGTATGCTCGACATATCTGGGATAGCCAAGAAGAATCAAATCCGAATCGAAATCTAAATCGAATGCAACCACAAGCATATCTAAAATCGATGACTTCTCGTCAATGTCGGACCTATCTTACTTACGCGAGTCCTCTACATCAATATTACTACACCACTTCGCCTCTAATACCGATAATGGCTTTTCTCCAATTGCAATCTGAAACTTATCTCATCAAATATCGGCCATCTCCCCAACAAATTTACGTTGCTATATATACCCGCGAGGAGGAAATTAAGTCATAATCTGCAAAGCTTGGGTCTTGGTCTGTGAGGAACCGTTGCTTCAATAAAGCTTCATATCTTGAGGGAGGACAGGCAGCTGGGACGTGGGACGAACGAGTGAAGAGGTCACAAATTGGCATGCTGGGACCCTCATTTTTCGAGTGTTTCCGACTTAAGAGTGTCTGTGGGCGCAGAGGCAGCGATTTCGGATAGTGGAACCGACACTCTAATAACAGGCAACGATGGAAGGTATATTGGTCCGCCTCCTGGTCGTCATCTCTCTGAATTAAAGTCTGGGTAGCCTGGACACCTTACCTCACTCGAGAAAGGGAGGACTACGAGGCTAAATCGCGCGGTGGATATAGAACAGAATAGAACTTAATTGAAGTCCCTACTAAGTCATGACTACGAAGGACGCGCGGTGGATATATACAAGATGGCAAAGACATGTTAGGGCAGCCAAAGTTTTTTCCTGTTTTCTCTTTGATGGATATTTACGGTGAAAGGAAGGGTGAGAGTCCCTAGCACAAAGGTCTCGAATGGTGCCAGCGAATGCACCCACTAGATGAGTATTCCAAATACCAAACTAGGTTTTCATCGTATTTAGTGGTCTGAGGAGGACCAGCCCTCTGCGTGTCATCCTCTCTGAATGCTAGGCTTGTGCCGGTCACGAATAAATATTCATACACTCAGTCAAGGTAATACTTCGTCTGTTACCGTGCCATGCCTGTTAAGATCAAAGTGGTGATCGAGCTTGTGGAGCCTGAGACAGATAAATCATTACTCGGCATTCCACTTTTTGCAAGCATCACCGTGGAAGATCTGGAGATTAGGCAGTTGTGGCCACATTTCGCCATTAAGGGGCTAGCACGTCCCATAGTGCATCTAGAAGCGAGCTAATGCAAAACCTATTAAAACAAAGGTAAATTCGCCTAATTCTTGTCAGCACTCAGGACAGTCGCGTGCCTAGCAAGGCATCCACCTATCCTTCCAGAAGGACAAGTCGAAGCTTTCAAGTGCCCAGTGTCCACTTACCGTCATCGTCTAAGCACCTAGTAGCACCCCTCCCTCCCCTTTGCCACGAGTCTCGCAACAAAGAACAACATGCCATGATTTAGAAGTCATCCAACTTCACCTCCCCACGACACAGCAAAACCACAATTCAGCATCAGTAGGAGGTAAATTTCCCTGCCACCGTCTCTATAACCACTTTTATTAGCTCCGTCATTTTTGCTTCGGCTAAGTTCTATTGCTTTTCACTTGTAAGTTTCTGCAGCCAACCGGAAGTAACCTGAAACCTGCTTGCATAAAAATTGACGATATATAGACGCTTTTCAACAAAAGAGTACCTCATAGATACTTGTTCAAAAAATTGCTCAACCTCGAGAGATATTACTAATCTATCTTTACACCAAGTTTTAATGTCACTTCCACCAGTATTCCTGTCGGAAATCGACACTCTCACCCGAGAGGTTCTTCTGGCTAAGCCATCTGACATCCTTCAGTTTTGTGCAAACCATTTTTCCAAACGCTTGGAAAAAGAACGCACTCAACTTCTCTCCGCTAAACCGAAGGATTCTGCTATGTCTGAAAATACTTTTCCCGGTAGGCTCGGAATAAATCCTTTTGGTCCCGAAAGTAGAGTGGCAAATAGCGAGAAACCTAGTGCCAGTCATGTAGTGCGAGCTACAGAGAGAGATGAAGATAAAGTCAATCCTAACTTTAACAATAAACCTTTGAAAAAGTTTGCAGGCGATAAAGCCACAAATACACCACTACAAGCGTTCAAATTAGGTGCCTCGGACGGGTTTCCAGAACACTACGGGATGGGAAGAAGGACTTCGGTGTCTGCTGAATCTTTGAACCCGACTGCATCATCAAACGAGAGCTGGACACCTCCCTATCACCGCAAGACCCCCGAACAGCTTGAAAGACTAAAGAAGTCTATTTCCGGAAATTTCCTCTTCAATCATCTGGATGACGAGCAAAGTGCTCAAGTACTAGGTGCTTTAGTCGAAAAACCTATACCGGTCAAGGATATCAAAGTAAGTTACCTTCGTCTTTGCCATTTTTTTCCCCACAAAAGTTTAACTAATTAATGAAAACAGGTTATTTCTCAAGGCGATCAAGGAGACTTTTTTTACGTCGTCGAGAAGGGTTCGTTTGATGTTTACGTCAATCCTGCCGGCTCTGTACAACCAGGTCTCGGGGGGCTTGGAAATAAAGTTGCTACAATTGAGCCTGGAGGCTCCTTCGGAGAGTTGGCTCTAATGTACAATGCTCCTAGAGCTGCAACCGTCATATCAGCGGAAGGGGCATGCACATTGTGGTCATTAGATCGGATTACATTCCGTCGCATATTGATGGACTCAACCTTCCAGCGTCGTCGCCTATACGAAAGCTTTCTTGAAGAAGTAACCCTACTCTCAACACTAACCAAATATGAACGCTCTAAGATTGCAGATGCCCTGGTAACTCTGAAGTATCCAGCAGGTACTACAATAATAAAGGAAGGAGATGCTGGCGAAGAATTCTACCTCCTAGAAAGTGGTGAAGCCGAAGCATTTAAGGCCGGCTCCCAAAATGCTGTAAAATGTTACAGCAAGGGTGATTATTTTGGGGAGCTCGCCCTGCTCAACGATGCCCCAAGAGCTGCAAGTGTGGTAAGCAAGACTGAGGTCAAGGTAGCAAAACTAGGAAAAGATGGATTTCAAAGACTTTTAGGTCCTGTCGAAAGCATCATGAGACGAACGAAATATGAAGGAGTGGAAGAAATTGATCCTCTTTACCAGAAGTGATTGTAACAGCGTTGTACACGAAGAACCTTTTTGAGTCAGAATGGCGTTAACCGGAGCTTCTATATTATTGTGACACAGAGACTGGGTCTACTGGCTGGGGCATCCAATAAAATACTTCAATTCTGTTCACTTGTTGTGAGCCCAAGCCCTATTTTAATAAAGCATACAGGGTCCAGATGGCTTGTGCTCTGTCATTTAAATTGAACTTTGTGTCATGCTTTGATCAAAGAAAGATTGGCATGAATATTCACGGATACTTGCTATGTTAATTGATATTCATTTAGAAGCTAGCTCAAATTTGAAATGAGATTCCACGAATTTCATTCAATAACTATTATATTAAAACTGACTTACCGAGACCTTATCCGACGAATAATATCCTTGTGTTTGACTTTACGAAATTATATGGCTCAAATGATACAGATGTATAGCTAAGCATGAATATGAAGGCATCGATGAAGAGAAATAGAGAACAAAGTATATGTGAGGAGAAATCTGGTAACTCTATTTTGAATGGATTTGAGGAATCATTAATGTACCAGGAGGAAAGCTATTATCACAGCATCTCCTTAGAAAATGCGGAAAGAGATTGACTTCAAGTGTTGGCTTGATAGACCGCCCGCAGAAGTGAATTTTCTAGAATAATAGAAACGCCACTCTCCGCTGAATTGGCTAGATTTCTAGGTTCCAAGCGCCGTAAATATTCTGTGAGCACCGGAGATTACAGCAGAAGCCAACACAATCACTAACTAACAAAATGACAAGAAATATGAATCGATATCTGTAATGTAATGTAATATCGTACCCCTCAGCGTTCATACATGACATGGCTTGATGGGCCTTTGGGGTCAATTACTGCCTACATGACGGGCAATAAAGCCAGAGGCAAAAAATGTACAGAGTCCTGTCCTGTAGTGCATTACGACAGAATTCTTTCAATCATATTGCATCTAGAGTCGGAAACAGTCTCGATATGGCGTTCTATGATCCTGTTCATTATTCGGCAGTCTGTAAGGTCTGAATTTAGTCAGGTATTGAAAGAAGCTCTACTATTCATTAACCCCTATGATTTGCCAGACCGAAGTTAGGGCTACTTGCTTGAAGCCTCTTCAAATTTTCACAGTAGATGAACACCCTGGAAAATGCCTGGGCCTTTTATCTCCAAACACGGACTCTGCGTCTTTATTCTTTAATTGCGACACAGCTATCCATTGGCAAGATCTCCAGAGCCTGCTTTGGCCGCAAGACAACAGAATGCCCTTCTTAGTTGAGCTTCTTTAGCTGTAGCATGCGGTATATACGGAGGTCGAGGTCTTCTTACCATTCTGTCGATGCCTCTGCTCCAACTAGTGGACTTGAGTCATTTCTACATTGCCAGCCTCCTCGAAATAAAATAAGGCATCAGGCTGATTGCCCAGTAGATGGAGGTTCATCAGAGAAGCACGTACTGTCTCAGCCTGTAGAATAGCCAACCAGCGTTTCAAACTTCCTAAACCAGCGACTTTGTCGTGACTGCATGAAATCGGCACTGGGGAGCTGTGGAGGATGTAAAACTTTCCCGGGCCCACGATCATCGGAACTCTGCGCACGCTCATTAGCAGATTTGTCTGATCAGCTCTGAGCCCCTTGTGTCTCATCATGTCCTTTGACTTTACGCCTGATCAGAGGCCTTGCGACTGCAGCACGCCCACTTTTTGTATGCGACCTCTAGACTGCATCATCCCAAGATAACAGTGCAGCTCAAGCACAGTTAAAATCGATGATGCTGAGGTATTCGGCACTGTGTGATCCAAAAATATGGATTCCTGCTGCAATGGGTGCTCGCAACCATTGGAATTTCTAGAAACGGGAGCTAACATTCTTGTCTAATAGTTATGCATTCAAACCAGCCCCGAGGAGTTCGCGTAGGGATAATGGTAGTAGTTAGCCTCTACGCCAACCGGGGTTTCTAAATTCCAGTCACCACTAATGACCATCGAGATATCTGATACCCCAATTATTCGCATGAAACTCCATTAAGTGGCCATTTATAACGCTGCACTCTTCGAGGCTTGGGCTTAGTAACTACTTCATGTAGGATGGCTTGGAAGTTGACTTACATAAGAGTATTAAAAGTTTTTATGATAATTTCTATCTTATATCTTAACACAGAGTAAAAATAGCCAATATAGCTCTGCCTACTAAGATGCCTCCTCTGACGCTAAGGTTTATGATTTATGACTCAATAGTAATCCTAGGTTTACTGGCAATGAGGCTATCTTGATTTGACCTACATATGGCAGCGTGGTAGGGCAATCAATGTGGAGGGCAAGACTGAACACCTGTACGCGGTGTCCTCTACGAACCTGGGAGTGAAATATTCTTCCAGAGCAAAGTTCAGTCAAACTTCGCAATACCGAACAAGTTGGCCCACGAGGCAATGATTCAAAATACTCCACCATATCAATCTTTCACTCCCAACGAAATCGATTCCTACCCAAGCCTCATCAAGTTTACAAGTACGACCTAGTACATTCTCATTCCAATGACCACACCTCTTGTCGACTTTCTCTGGCCTTAGCTGGTCGCCAGATACACGCCCACGCCGATATTTACACCCGACGGAGGAAACAAAGCGTGGCGCACAAATCTGGAAGACGTTTCCTTGGGATGGATGTGGGAGGGATCAGGGCAAGTTGATAAGATGATGCAAAGGATGGATACAGTCTCAACAGGCGTGGAATTTTGAATTTTGGAAAGGAGTTTTTACAAATTGAGCTTTGTGCGTGCCAAGGCATCGGATGCGAGAGTGCAGGCGACACTATAAACATCGCCATGGTTGGATGGTGCGGTGGTACATCGTCTTGGACGGTCTACCAAGTAAAGTCTAGATAGCTTGGACACATATCCCACTTGAGATAGTAGATTGCTGGTTCGAATCCGGGAAAACACAACCACATCTCTCGCGGCGCTGGTATGCATGAATAACGAAGGCATGCTTGGATTACCAAAGGTTTTGAAACGTCCCTTTGGTGGGTACTAACGGAGGAGGGTCCATTGTTTGTGTAAGCGAACATACCTCATTGTGGTATTTGCAAATGAAATCCAGAGTATGAGTGTCTCTAACGTCAAAAGAGTCATCCCACATGTTTACATAGCACCGGTCATGTGTCATAGCTAGATAGCCGAATACGCATTAAATGATTTAAAAAAAAAAGGGCAATCAATGTAATGATACTGGATAATGATAGAAAACCCTGGTATCTACTACATTCGTGCTGTTTTTCGGAAAATTTTTGTGGGAAATAGGGCCATTGTAATATTCCAAAGAACAGATTACCCACAGAATGTGTTCCTTGATGTTTGGGTAGATACTATATATTCTTGTCGAGAGTTGGTGAACGATTAAAATATTGATAATAGGGGGCTAGATGGAGAGCTTTGGCATGAAATCAAGGCGTATGTTGTAAGGGTCTTTTTATGCCTAGAAAGATAGATTGGCCACCGTTCTCGTGGGGTTATATGTCGTAGGCACTGATACTTGGGATGAAATGGTCAGATAAACTCATTTTGCATTTGCTCTCAGTCTTTGTAGAATCTCCCGTCTTAACTTCTCAGCAGCGACCTCGGTCTCAAGCAGTCTTCCCACCCCCTTCTTCCAAGTATCTTCAAGACTCCTTATCTCGCCCTCTACAGCTTCTTGATGCGACTTCCTCTGCAGTACGCACACGTCGAGCTCCGTCTTGCTGGCCGTCAGTTCCTGCTCCAAGTCTCTCAGAGTATCTTCCAGTCGGGCATTTGCTAGAAGCCAGGAATTTTTACCATATTCAGCGAGGAATTCCAGGTTTTTTTGCCGGTTCTGAAGGTATACTTGCGATGTGTAGGTTGCCTGGAGAGCCGAGTGCCAGGATTCAGGATGAGCCTCAGAAGGCGCTGATGGGAATTCATTGGATTCGTAGCGCGTGAGCTCAATGGCTTTCAAGGGCCGCTTCTCTTGGACCCTCTGGATCTCGGCGAGGGCGAGAGCAGAGAGATTTTCAGTTGGCGGTGCGGGTGGGTCGGCGATATCACTCTTCGCAGCATCATCCAGTTCGGCGCTAATGAGTGATAATGCGGATGCACGCTCCTCCGCATTTATCTCGGCGTCAATGTAGGGTAGAGAATCATGAATTACAGTCGGAAGGGTCATCTCATGGGCTGGAAAAGCTCGTGATGCGCGCCCGAGATGGTCGGGATATCGAGGATTCTCGAGATGCGGTGGTGAATGTTAAGAATCTGATCTAGCGATGTTGCTAATTTATTTGATTGAATGATACAAGGCTGTTGCAGAGGGAAGATCGCGACTGGGCGCTACCCTGGGTTGGATAGGTCCAGTAATAGCTAAGCTACACCAAAAATGGCAAAATACCGTACCTGGTTTTCAAGCGCGTGAGGTGAACTTAGCAAGTGAATGGGAGTGACTATAATAATTGCCAAAATTCATGACGGAGCGTCTCGTGACTCACAGCCGAAAGGCTTTTTTGTGGAGCTTGGTTAGAGGAAATTAGATTTCTATTGTAGTCCTGGCTAAGTCAAGAACAATGGAGGCCGGCAAAGACGAATTCTTCATCTTCCAGTGGTTCCAGTGTAATCGCTCAGTATGCTCTGCATATCTGGGATAGACAAGAAGAATTGAATGCGAATCGAACTCGAAAGCAAACACAGACACATCTATAATTGGCGACTACTCGTCAATGTCGGTCTTGCCATTCTCATGAGAGTCCTCTACCTTAAACTCTCCACACACCACATCGCCTCAACGACCGATAAAATCCTCACTCCAATTGCAAACAGAAGCTTGCCTCATTTTTTACCGACCACTACTCACTACAAATTTACGACGCTACGTATACCCGCAAGGAGAAAATTAAGTCAAAATATTCGAAGTTAGGGCCTTGATTTATGGGGGAATATTGCTCTAATGGGGCTGTATATCTTGAGTAAGGACCGGCGAATGTGGCGTGGAAAGATACAAGGAAGAAACCTCGTGTGGGACCAATAAGTCTGATATTTTCGAGAATTTTCGACTTTGGAACATTTGTGGGCGCCAAGACCAAGATTTCGGCTAACTAGCCAGGAGAACTTCTTTTGCCGATGAGTAAACGGCACTCCCCACAACCCTTGACGGCACAAAAAAAGTTGGGTTAAGCTTCCACACAGCAATCACGCTACGTCAAGACTTTTCTGACATTTCAGCACGACCTTCGGGAAGGAGTTGGAAGAAGGCCAGAAAGGCAGAGTGTGAATTCTCCGAGGTACCCACAAGTCTGCAGCACCCAGCTGGCCGGACTCTTCGAACGCTTCGGAAGGGTCACTATTTCTTCGGATTTAGTCCTAATGTCAGTATTAGGAGACCTCCGCACCCAGTGGTTTTTGCGATTTTCCCCGGCTGCCATACACCCGCAAATGGCCATCGTTTCGTTGGCTGGAGAGGGGAGATAATGAAGGGCAAAGGGCTCTTCTAAGTTTATTGTCGAATGAGGACTTATGAGGGGTGGTACTGTTTGAGGGGAGCTGTATGGGAGGCATAGGAGGGGATATACTACTGGTATAGGTATCCTTGGCCTGTAGGCAGAGAGGACCTGCATGTTCTATATAGTCATAGACTCAGACAGGACAATAAAATGAGTTAATATTAAGAAAATAATGACCCCTCAGTCATTGAGGTTGTAGAGCGCATTGATTCAAGTAACTACCGAAGTGAAATTAAGTACAGAATTTACAGCCACGTGTATATCAGCAACGTGGCCCACTTGATAGCGTCAATTATTCTAAATACTAACAATTAATAATAAGACTGGTCCTACGAAGCCATGATAGACAATCCTGGTGATATTAAAAGAATTACGCAATGGATTCTTAGTCACGGTCGGATAGATCAATTCCGCATGACAAATGCAGTCGAAATGCTGATTAGGGAACGAGGCAGGACTGGCACAAGGTTGGGGTCGTTGGAGGGGACGTGATTGGTACATACAGACGGCACTACAGTGTAACTGTGCTTCCTGGAGGATAAATTGCAAATTTCAAAGATACCAATCAGGAAGCTGGGGAGGTTTTAATCGAGAGGTTTCCTCCTATGTAAATATATAGATAGAGTTATAACCACCTGCATGGGCCCATAGGGCGCCAAATCAGGAAAATGAATACAAATCAACAATTAATAATAATAATAATGACGATGGAGGTCCCCTAGAATATATATACGGGAGGCTAGCTACATTTTGTAAATTCAGATTTATAAACTTTCAACTGTGCTCTTATGGACATTAAGGGTCGGACCCTATTCTATTGTGTAAAAGCTGAGGCTAATATGTGAACTGGACACAAGTACTAGACATGTATCTGTGGTGCCCTTCAAATACGTGAGAGTAAAATATTCACCCAGAGCCGAGTTTTGTAGTACTCTAGAGACTGACCCACTAATCAACGATTCAAAAATCTATCACGTCGACTTTGCATTGCCAACATGATTTATTCCCACCAAATCATCATTAATTTTAATACTAAAACTTAGGAAATCCTCATTTCAGTGACCATACCTCTCTCTGAGTATTCTCTGGCTTGCGTGCGCTGAAAGTGTGCGGCCATGGCGATATTTATCCGCGGAATAGAAGACAAATTGGTCTAACAGACCTGAGGGATAGAGCTTAAGGGTGGAAGTGAGATTTATCAAGAAACGTCGGCATGATGGAACATTAAATGGAAAAAAAGTAAGAAGTAGTAAGATTCTGAAGTTTGGAAAGAAGCTTTTCACATGGAGCATAATGTGCCATACAAGCTCGATTACGATAGTGTTGGCGACACTGTTAACACCGCCGTGGTTAGATGGTGTGGTGATGTATCATCTAGGCCCCATCTTCCAAGCAGAGTCTGGATACCTTGGACAGCTATCCTCGCGAATGCGATTGCGACAAAGTTTCACCGGGCGCTGAATCAGGATTCAAAGTTGATCTAATCGAGCTATATGGATGGGAGAGCGGGAAATTAGTCTTCGTTTGTGAGGTTGATTTTATTGTCCTGATTTGGTGTAACGGCTAGTGAGCCGATAATTGTCCTGTGTCACGTGATGTTAATCATGTGCCTCAACAATTCTGTGAAAGGCGAAACTTCACTCTAGTTTATTCTGAACATGACTAGAGGATTCTAGCAACTGGCATTGAGACTGTGAACTGGTATCAGGGAAACATAACAGAGGCTAGTATCAGACAGGAAGGAATATTCTAGATAGCCTAATAAGTGTATAAATAGTTGAGTTAGGACACACATATTGTGGTATAGAAAATAATAAACAACCTTCGTATATTTGATCGCCCCAGCATCTATACCTCGAACTGTGACATTTGGCGCCGCATGCGTGCATGCAGGTGTCTACGAACTATAATACTTGTGCGGGAGGAAACCTTTGTAGTGAAAAACCCCCAGACCTTTCTGTTTGCTATCTTAAGTTTTCACATATTTTCTTCAGGAAGCCCAGTTACACTGTGGTGCCATCCATGTAAGTCAACCGTATCGTCTCTATTGGTCCCAAGAATGGCTTGACCTGTTCCTTTCCCTCGGCAGCATTTCAACCGCCTTTGTCGTCTAGAATTGTTCTATCCAACCATGATTTCGGATCCACTGTGTTATCCTTTTAATCTCTCCAGATCTCAGCTCTACCATTTCACCATCGGGGACAGGACATAATCATGTGCTTGGGGTTTCTGCGATTGGCAGTCACATTGACAGCTTGGACTATAGACTCCGGGTACTTTTCTTCCGTATAGTTACCAAACAAGCCCCATGTGCTCACTTCGAATTTGCATTGCTAGACTTCGTTGAGCCCTGATCAGGTTTCGGTCATAGTAATTTCGCACCAGTGGCCCACCCTGGAGCTACAAAATTGAGAGTGATGATTGGCAAGGCCCATTGGAATATCTGGGTACATGATTGCACTAGTCTACAATTGGTGTTAGCGTCAGAGCCAAGGAATACGAATATTTATATATTTTGTTGGTTTCAATCACGAGGTATGAAAATGGTAGAGAGGCAGCCTTGGGAATGTAAGATAGATTGGCTATGGAAGGAGAAATAGGAGTAACTACAGCGAGCTCTATATACATGAGGTGTGGGTGTTTGCTGAGTAATGCCAAGACTAGATTGGCATTCATGTCACGTGTAGGTGGTTCATGTTCAAGCACCTACACTACCTTGCTCATTGCATGTTTGGAGCCCTGAGGGCGTAACTGTTTCAGATCCCATGCTGTAACCTTCTATCTGTTTAGAACTAGGACCGGTATAGCTCTCGGAGCACTTGTTCCGGTAGGCCTGAGGTTGGATCTATGCCTTAGGCACATGAATGTATGCCGAAAGCGTTCACGCTTATGCGGCGTCTGTACACATAGATACAGCAAGACCCCAGTTAAGACAATTTAATCGGGACCGTGAAAAATATCGTCTTAAAGGATTTGATTACCTAATCCATCTTCAGTCAGACCCCTGTCAAAATGACGTAGTCGGGGCCATGGAAAACATCGTTATATGGAGGATATCGCTTTAAAGGATATGATTATCTAATCCACCTATCTAGGCTACTTTTTACTTTTGATGCCTCTTTTATATTCCCACTTGCCGTCTTTAATCGCTCTTATACTCTCAAGGTCAGGCCAGTTTCCAGCTCGTTGTCGTAGCACAGTAGCGCTTGTAGCTTCGTTGAGTTTCGTAAAGGTAAAGCTCAAGGAGTCAGAGACTGTGGACCGGCTTAATCGATGGCCGTACTCAGCGAAGAACCACTCAATTCACTGATTTTGTGTTGGTTTTTGGACCTGGCGGTGCGCCCATCGTCGCATAGCACGTCGTTGATCTTCAGAAATCCCCTTTTTTGGCGGCATTACTGGCACCAATCTAACCAGAAAAACCTAGTTAAGACGATATTTAGAGGTTAAAAAACGATAATCGAATAATCGGTAAATGTATGGGAACAGAGTCTGTTCCGGAAAATATATTGTATAAACGGCAATATGGTCTTAACCATGAACGGCTTCACAGGGATCTTACTGTATATACAATTTAACCAGCCACCACTTCTGCAGTGGCAATCCCATTCTCATTACCTATGATATTATTAAAGTGAAAGTTGGATAGAGAAGCTTAAGCTGCTAGACTTGTTCA